TAAATGTATGTTCTGTTTGTTTTTCTTCTATTTGTTTATTTTCTGAGAAAGATTAAGGGCAAAAGATTTAAAGAAGGTTACAAGCAGCGGTCATCCGTGTTACGAGATGGCGTACAAAGATAGGGTTTGAAACTGAGTGATTTTTATTATACTTTTATCTGTTTGTTTCCTTACTATGTTATAACTACCTTTTTCCTTACTGGCGTGACTGAGGGTCTGTTTACAGGAGCGCAGGAACAGTGATTTCTCGCTTAGCCCGGCGTCGTAAAAATGTTTACTTGCTAGCTAAAATATTACGGGGCCTTTCCCCCACAAAAACAGCCTTTTGCTTCTTCATTCTAAACTTTTCTTCACAGGTTCAAGGAGAGTGATCATTTATGCGAAAAAATCAGAGATGAAGAGTATAAGTGTGATGATATGACTTAAAATTTGTTTTATTGTTTATTATTGTGATTATGGGTAATCAGAATGATAAAAAGTGAGGAGTTGTAGTGGAAATTTTAATGATATTCATTGATCTTTAGTAAAATATAGATGATTCAAAGAATGTCACATGTGTGTCTCTCACTTGTAGTGAGAGAAGATTCTGTTTATGTACCTGGGGAGGCAGAAGAGGGAGACACTCCAGAGAACAGACGAACAAGGACCTCTGACCTAGATGTCAGAAGGCCATTTTTGGTGCAGGGGAGCTTATTGGGCCAACTAGTGACGTCTATGGAAAACTACTGGGAGGAAGGCTCTGGGGGGAAGAAGGCCTTGAAACTAAGATAAAAGCTAGTTCAGTCTGTCTGGGGGTGTGTCACTCTTCTGCACAGGGTAACAACTGTGTATTAGACTGCTCCTATTCTTGCAAGAATAAATTCTTCTATTTTATATAATTTGACTCTGAGTGTCTCTTACGCAGTGATGTTTGCTTGAGATGAATTTTTGCCACAACACTCCGTCTGATACTGATATGTGTTTATGCTGTTACGTTGCCCTGTATCCTTCAGTGCACCTGGCTATTCTGATCTAACTGCGTATATTCACAGTTGTTGTCGCTGCTGCCACTGATGCTGTGTTTTTACACTGATATATGTTTATGCTGTTATGTTGCCCTGTATTGCTCAGTGCAACTGGCTATTCTGATCTAACTGCGTATATTCACAGTTGTTGTCACTAAGGCCACTGACGCTGTGTTTATGTTCATACTTATATGAGTCTATATGGTTATGTTGCCCTGTATTGCTCAGTGCAACTGGCTATTCTGATCTAACTGCGTATTTTCACAGTTGTTGTCGCTAAGGCCACTGACGCTATGTTTATGTTCAACTTCATACTGATATGAGTCTATACGGTTATGTTGCCCTGTATTGTTCAGTGCAACTGGCTATTCTGATCTAACTGCGTATATTCACAGTTGTTGTCACTACAGCCACTGACGCTTTGGTTATGTATACTGATATGTGATTATGATATGCAATTCCGGTGTACTTGAGCTGAGCTGTCTATCAGCTGTGAGCACTCCCAGAGGAGCAACGCTATTGGCTGTTGTTCCTACAAGAGAGTGTCAGTATCCTCGTGGCCCCGAACTGGCCAAATCAGCCCTGGTTTGCGGACCTGAGAGAGTTAATGGTGGCTCCCTCATGGAAAATCCCCCTCAGGAAGGACCATGCTGTCTCAGGCGGATGGCACGATATGGCACCCCAGCCCCGAGCTGTGGAACCATAATGTGTGGCCGCTGCGGGGACCTTGAATGAGCGGGACACTCTGCATTCACGAGTGCTGAGCATAGTCGAGGAGGCACGCGCGCCTTCTACTGGATCGCCTCTGCGCTCTGAGATGGGGAGTTTTTCTGTTTACAAAATGGTGCTTGGACATCGATTTGACCCGGGGATCGTTCCGTGTCGGATGTTTCGCGCTTTCTACAGCTCGGAATGGAGAGCAGGACTTTGCCATCCACGCTAAGGTGTAGGTGGTCGCTATTGTTGCTGTTCGTTCCCCGGTTGACGGGCAATCGATCGGTAAGCACGCTTTGGTGATCAGATTTCTCAGGGGAGCGAGGAGATTGTGTTCTTCACGGCCGCCCTCCGTGCCGCCGTGAGATCTAGCTCTGTTTTTGAGAGCTCTACCTCTACCACCGTTTGAGCCCCTAGCTTCGATTGCGGTTGAGGAGCTTTCCCTGAAGACTGCCTTACTTGCTCTCACCTCAGCGAATCGCATTGGAGACTTACACGCGTTCTCGGGGAACGACGATTGTATTTGTTTCGGACCTGGCGACAGCAGCGTCACTCTCCGGCTGAGACCAGGCTACGTTCCGAAGTCACTCAACACACCATTTAGAGCACAGGTTGTTTCACTGCCCGCCTTTTCTGCTGAGCCATCAGCCTCGCGTGACGCCGACGCTAAGAGCGCTGTTTGCCCGGTAACAGGGCTTTGCGGACATACGTGGATAGCTCGGCCGCCTTTCGTCAGTCGGACCAGCTGTTCGTGTGCTTTGGTGGATGTAATAAGGGATGTGCCGTTTCAAAAGAGAGACTCTCACTAGATTGTGGATGCTATTGCATTGGCTTACGAATGCCAGGGGAAAGATTGTCCCCTTAACATCAGAGCTCATTCTACAAGGGCAATTGCTTCCTCGTGGGCCTGGGCTAGAGGTATGTCTATCCAGGATTTATGTAGCTGGCTGGTTTCTCAGAACACATTCGCCAGGTTTTACAAGCTGGATGTACCCTCTGTAGAGTCACACGTACTTTCGGGGAGTTGAGTTTTACTGAAATATTTTGTTATCTGTTAACCAGCTATGCAGTAGTTATCTAGCTGCTAACTCTGTGTTATGGTTAATAAAGTTGATGCAGCTGTCACCGCAATCGCCGTCGACAATGCGTTGAACTCTCATGCTTGAGTGCTTATTGTGTTGTGTCTGCCCTATTCAGTGCAGCCTTCAGTTCCATTGCTTTCAGATATACAGATTTTGATAAGGTCGGAGCAGGCATCTCTTTGGTCTAGTACCTCCTATCAGATGAGAGCGCTCTTATCGACGCGGCTATTGGCTAGAACTGTCTTGCTTACCTTGGGTGTGGTTTGACCCCGTTCAGGGCTTATCTTCACTGCTCTCATGGCGGGATTTAATACAGTTCCCATAAACGTCACGCTGACGTAATGTTGAAGTTACCACCTCGAAAGGGAACGTCTCCGGTTACTATCGTAACCTTGGTTCCCTGAGAGGCGGGAACGAGACATTACGTTAGCCGCCGTGCTCGCTGTTTGGTCAGCTGTGCTAGCGTTCAGTCGTGATTCTGACGTAATTGTTGCGCCCATGCATTTTAAATTGCCCGGGAACCTGTCAGTATTTACATGCTTCGCGTCAATTGGCCAGCTGTCCCCAGCTGGTGTTAGCCCATAAGATTTCAGCGAAAGTGGAGAAGGGAGGAGTTCCCATATATGTCACGCTGACGTAATGTCTCGTTCCCACCTCTCAGGGAACCGATCACGATAGTAACCGGAGGCGTTTTGCGATCTCGCTAGTTTCCAATGATTTATTTCTATAGTTTTCTGATAAAACCTCCATTTGATGGTGAAATGATGGGTTTGTGTGACGTTGTTCCAGAGAGGCGTGTTAAGCCGTTTATACTTTCGCCTGGCTCTGCAGCGCGAGTCTCCGCTGCCTTCGCGCACACCTCCCCAAGCGGATGAGGCATTTGACGCGCCCGCCGTTGTACTATTCTTTGAAACGAAAGGGGGCGACTCGGACTAAATGTCCTCTAAACAATCAGAAATCAGTGGTGAGAAGTAGTAAGGTACACACGTGACAATGTTTATTTTAGTACACCACCAATATGCTACAAAAGAATCGTGTAAAACCCAGTAAACCTTGAGATTATTAACATTAGAACAACATGGATATGAGAACACGTATACAACTAAATTAACAAGCTCTTAAACATTTCCATTTAGTTTTGTGAAAATTATTAAACATGGACCTTTATGTTCATTGAAAATATACTCAAATCACTATGCAGGTCTGACTCTTGAGTGATTACTAGAGAGAACGCTTGGAAATGAGCTGCATGTATACATCAATAATGTGAAACAGCACACAATTTAATGAATTAAAACGGCAAAATGCTATATTGGTGTCACATGATCCGATTACCTCAAACTCTTATTTCACATCCAACTTGGTTTAAATAAGAGATGACAATTTTCATTTATTGGTTCATTCACACAGAAAGCAGAAGAGGAGCTCACACCCTTAGAGTAATATATTCAAAGTTTTCCGGGATTATACCGGTTTCTAGATTACATTTGAATACCATTTTGGATCAGTTTTAAATTACATAAGAATCCAAATGCATTTCAAAGCTTTATCGGCAGACATCTGCAAAGCACTAAGATGCAGAAAAGGACATGCCTCCAAGAAATTTCCATAGGAAATGGGGAAGCTGGGCACATAAGACAAATCTTTCAGAAAGTAAATAAATCCAATTCATGTGCACCAAATAAATGTGCCATATTAAGGTGCTGCTTGTTCAGATTCAAACACTTGGTATTTGGACCATAGTATTGTTTGGATAGAGCCTGCTAAGGGTGACTAATGGCAAAAACAAGGTATTGCATGCATAGTATGCAATACACTTATGAGACTGCAGGGAAAAGTGGTCATGTCTGCTCTACCTGTTAAACATTTGACCTTTTTTGTAATGCTCATAAGAGCTAGTCCCTGTATGAGAGGATTGACCTGCCTGTGTAACTGCCAATAAATGCAGACTTTTCACTGTCAAGCTCTCCGATTCCATGTTTTCTGGTTAAACGGTTATAAGACCACTAAAGTAACAACAAAATAAAGTCAGGAAATACTTGACTAGGGAGCACAAATCAACCAACCACTATGGTTTCTAAGTGTCCCAATCTGACATGAACTTTAAGAAACAGGCTAGGAGTTGTGGGTTCCACATGGCTTACAATGAATTACAACATTCAAATTCAAAACATGAACAATTTATTCACATCGAAAAAATTAACCTTCATGACAGTTAAACAGGAACATGCCACATGGGGACAGTTGCTCATATCTCATACCCCAGCTTTCATCTGACTGTGCGGTGGCAGAGGTTTCTCCAGGTGGTGACCCACAGTGAGACCGAAGGGGGAATCAGCCTGCTTTTCATGAACTTCAGGCTTCAGCTGAAAGCCTTTCACCTTATCAAAACTGTCTACGGGTGGGAAGGAGAGAGGCACTTCGCTTAAAAGACCTTGAAGACGAGTACGCCATTCTTTCAACAGGCTGTCACGAGCCTCAGCAGAGAGATGTGTGGGTGCCCAGAAGACCTGTGGTGCGAGGACCCGGAAGCCACAGTAATTGAGGACACCATTCTACAAAAGAGAAAACATTAGCACAGCAGTTCCAGGTTAGTATGACATGCAAAATCAAATGGTGCAAAATTAAGCTTAGTTGAGGGAAGAGGAGGGATGAAGCATCTTACCTGAACTGGCCACAGAGTAACATTCATATCTCCATTGATCCCATTGGAGCTGAACATGGTCTCATGGGAACCAGTGGTGAATGACAACATGGCTTTCTTTTCCTAACACAAATTAAAAACCCACTCACATTTCATTAAATGAACAACTTTTAACCTTTTCTGATTAACGCATGTAACGATTTGTTGGTCTTACCCTGAAGATGCCTGCACTGTAGCGCTTTTCCGAGGTGTACGCAAAACCAAGGGTAAGAACCCGATCCATCCAGCCTTTCATGATGGCAGGAACCGAGAACCAGTACATTGGAAACTGCAAAAGACAAAAAAAAGGGAAGTAAAAGAACTACAAGTATAGATGCCAGCCCGAACCCCACCCACAACATTTTCGGAAGTTCGGTCTGGACTCGATCCATTGAGGAGTAATTATGATCGGTTCAGAATTAGTCGGGCCAATCAAATTGCCAGGGTGGGCTTTATACGATGATGGACAGATCATCTGCAGTTACGTAATCATCACGTCACCAAAGAGCGCATGGGTTGAACTGGTTTCCCGAGATGACTGCAGCTGGAGAATTGGGATGTATAGATTCCGCCATCGCGTCTGTTATAAAAGAAATCGACAGCGCATTAATTTTAAAAGACGAACAGAGAACTGCAATCAAGGCATTTGTCGATCGGAAAGATGTGTTTGCCGTCCTTCCTACGGGATTCGGCAAACGTTTATTTTATCAGCTGGCTCCAATGGTCGCTAAGAAGATTTCATACAGGTCAGACACAAGAACATTGCAGCCCTGTTTCTTCAGCACATCTACAGCAGCATCTTTAATGGCTGCATTGAAAGATCCAGCACTCTGGTGCGCATACACGATCAACACTGTCTTTGCAGCTGAAAAAATAAGAAAGAAACAAAATTCAACCCAACCCAACCCAACCAACCAACCAACCAAAACAAAACAAAACAAAACAAAACAAAACAAAACAAAACAAAACAAAACAAAACAAAACAAAACAAAACAAAACAAAACAAAAGCACTAAAAGAACACACCCATGTTTCTCACCCACAGATCTCAGAGCATCTACTAAACCAACAGCTTTGTGAGCTTCTTTTAAAACCACAATCACCTGAGCACAGCTGAAAATAATTTACTAATCAGTTAGTGTTGGCAGGCTTTCCAAAAACAAAAAAAGTTAAACAAAAGTGATTATTAACTGAGGGTTGTTCCATAAAACAAGATTAGAATACAAGCCAGGCTTATTTTGGTTAGTCAGACTTATTGTCGGTGGATACCGTTTCATAAAGCAAACTTAAAATAGTTCAAACTCAGTTACCCTGGCAACTTATATTGGGAAACTAACCTGGGGCCCGTTTCAGAAAGGAGGTTAAGTGAAAACTCTGAGTATGTTAACCCTGAAATGAGGCAAACTCTGGGTTATCCATTTCAGAATGAGAGGTATGTCAAACCTGAGAAAGCAGAGTAAGTCTTGCCCGTTTCTGAAAGAGAGGTAACTTATACTCAGAGTCAGTTGCCATGGTAACTTACTCAGTGAACCCAACCTGGCCGGGAGCAGGTTTTCTTCAGTAAACCTAGAGTTTATTTCGGTCTCCTCCCCTTTTTTAAAGGGGTCATATAATGGTACATGCACTTTTACAAGTTGATTGTACTGAAATGTGTGTTGGCAGTGCCTGTACACAAACATCATATAATGATAAAAATCCATCCAGTGGTTTTGTTTTAATCTCCTTATATGTTTTCCCCTGCCTCAAATCGAGCCGTTCGTTTTTGTGACGTCAATAAAACGGACGCCCCTCCCACGATTGTTGATTGACGGGTTGCGTTTCAACACAGACCCGCCCTCGCACATGAGGTAGCTGTCAATCATAGTCTGCGCGGCGCGGACCGGACCGGCGCGGTCATTGTTGATGTGCCGTAGCACTGTCTATGAGCAGAATGGCGTCTAAGCGATTGTGGTGTTCTGTTCTTGGGTGTAATAACGAACACAGTCATTTTAATGTTCCTGAATCCGAACCGCTGAAGACGCAGTGGCTGAGTTTTGTTTCCGAAGGGAATATTCCACACGAGCAACGTCAATGCTCTCATGTTTGCGCGAATCATTTCTCATCAGACTGCTTTATAAACGAGGGTCAGTATAAAGCTGGATTTGCTAAGAAGCTTTGCTAAAAAGGATCGGTACCAGATATTCGTGTTCCTGCTGAACCTCCAGAAGAACGGAAGTGAGTGAAACGTTTTATTAAACTTTATATTAATATATTAATCTTTGCAAATCGCTAGCTGCACGCTTCACAATGAATGCGTCTAAGGTTTACACTCAGTCAGGGTACATTACGGCATGTTTTCTATGTATGACGTTCTCAATATAATTCATAATTCCACGTTTATACTGAACAACGCGTTATGGTTATTGTGTTATTGTGTTACAAACGGTGTATGCACAGAACAGAGGGGCGGAGTGAGCGCAGCTCATGATCATTTAAAGGCATATGCACTGAAACGGCGTGCTGAAAACAGAGCTGTTTTTGACCAGGTAAAATAAGTGTTTTCTTACAATACTAATGAGAATTTTTAATTAAAGTATATTACAAACTTTTAATTTAGACCCTAAAGAATCATATTAGCTTGTACAAAAATGGCATTATATGACCCCTTTAAAGAGGAAGCGGTGTTTAAACACCTCATTCATTCTTTCGGTACATTTATTCATTGCTGTTTTTTTTATATTTTTTTTAAAAGATGAAGTCTAAATAACTCCTTAACTGGCAACTTAAAATACAGTAGATTAGAGTTACATCATGTAATTCTAAACAAATTCTACATATTTAAACTGTGGCATTTACAGAAAATCACTGAACCGTGTTCATCTGTGTGTGTGTGTGTGTGTGTGTTGTGTTGGGGGGGGGGGGGGGGGGGGGGGGGGATGTCCATTTATACTTAGATATATACTTAGATTCTATAGGTTCCTCCACATAAAAAATGTGAAGAAATGTGAATGTGTAGATTGTTTGATATGTAGACACATAATATTAACATTACCTCTGTAGGCCTCTCTGTGGCAGCAGAAACTGTTTCTTCATCCCCATCATCCTGTGAAGATGAGCATTTGATTGAGTAAACTTTATAATACTATTTGTCATAATTTTTGGTGTATTGAGTACTTACAACTGCCTGGGGTTCTGTTGAGACAGGAGGCTCCAAAAGAAATATACTACCATCAGAATCTGTTGGGACCAACAAAAAACCCAATCCAAAGTAAAATAAAAAATAACACATATGTAGACCTCTTAAATTTTATGAAGGCCCTTGAATCTTGGGGAGTGACTGGCTCTGATGAAGTCCCTCCAGGAATTCCCTCAGCCATTGGCCTTCCAGCATTCAGGCTCAGGGCCATCTCCATCTCCTCTGCATTTGTGGAGGTGGTGGTGCTGGTCCTCCCCCCGTTTTGCGAGCCTCTGCCTTCTTTCTGTTGGCTGAGTAGTCAAATGAGAATGAACATTTAATTGTGTGAAAACAGAATTGTGCCTATATCAAAAATGCTGCTGCACTGCTATATGCTGGATGCTATTTAGTTATTTAATATGTCAAATGTTTGTAAAGTCAGGTAGCCTACACCCATGATATGCTCAAGCCTTACCTGATTGAATTATGTAGCTGCAGGCTCCGAGTCTGCAGCTTCATACTACTGGAATCGCATTATGCCTGCTAAGTTTACCTTTTTACCACTAGATGTCAACATGCACCAGCAACTGGATCTGGGCATAGACGTCTATTAGGGTTAGAGCCATAAAAATAAAATCCCTATATGATAAAGATAAAATATAATGATAAAGATTAAAAAAAATAGGCCAGCTATAAATTTGGTGACCCAGTTTAGATAACGAGCTGTTTTGCTTAGATATGGTTTGTATCATGGCCAGGTTATAATTATGACTTAAATTCTGGTGAAAAGGAAACTTTTCTGGTCTTTGTGTAGTTTTTTTTTTTTTTTTTTAACTGGTTAGGATTGATGAAGTGCTTGATACCACTTAAACCGGACACTTGGTCAGGCTGAGGCTAGTTAAACTATAGGAATATTTTCCCCCAGCAGTGCTTTTTTTCCACTTCAGAAAGAAATCCAGCAGTTTGCGAAAGGCGCGTAAGCACATGGGTATATGACTTTAAGAAGTGCAAGATAAGGTTTCTGTTTTTAGCAGCAGACTCCCATGATTAAAAATAGCGAAGAGGGTCTGCGAGTGCGAGCCCTTAAACTCCCCCAAAAGACGCTCACAGTCCATCCGCGCAACAATGAACTAAAAGAAAACGTTTAGCTGTTATACTGACAATCACACTGTTAAAGAACCCAACTCTATAAGCAAACAAACTCTATTCTATATCATTTACAGCCATTTTGGCAGCTCCTCAGAGGCGACACGTGTGTCATGAAAAGGCGTTTGCGCTCTCAGCACCGGTGACTCTTCATTCTTTCACAGTAGTTTACAGCACTAGGAAGAGTGCAAAAAGACGGATGTAACACAATGAACCGCGTCGCGAACGACACGACGTAGCCTCGCTGTTTTTTTTTTTTTTTTTGGTTTGAGTTGGAAACGTGTTTTCTTTTTCTTATGCCTCTGCTGAAGGAATAACTCTTCAAAGGATCGGTTCTCACGCGTAAAAGAGCGTGAGTTTCTCGGAAAGTTTTATTAAAGGTTACCAATGGGGTCTCAAGGGCCAGGACGTAAAAGAACCCCCAGCAAAAATGGGTTGACTGGAGAGGAAGATGCCCTCAACGTAATCGCAAAAGAGGTAAATTGATCTCATAAGAGATAAACTAATGTAATGGTCTCATTTGCGGAATTACAGGGTTAAACTCCCGTGGAAAATATGAAAATCACATGGTTCTACATCCTGAGTCAGTTTATTTATTAAACCAAAGAGCATTACACAGCTTCACAAGTATCTAATTAACATAACAGAAGCCTAACTAAGGTGAAAGCCATGCTTTTGCCCTCACGTGGCCCTGCATTGTTCATATTTTATTCTTACAAGCTGAAGATCATTTCCTCATGTCTGCTTCCTCCCAGTGTTTTTAGTTGCCTTCGCCTAACTACAAGTTTCTGAGCTGTTTTGGTCAAAGGTGTTCTTTTTATGCATCATGGCAGTAGTGTTTGAAAGTGCTAGCAGTGTGCAACATAAGCTGAGTTTGATGCGCTGGAACAGGTGTTTGGGTCATGGTGGAGAGAACCTTGATTTGAGTGCTTAGGAAATTATTTTGGCCAGTCAGATCTTCGACTGATATGATGTTCCTTCCTTGCACACCCATAGTGAAAAGTAAAGAGTGTCATAGACAGTTATACATATCATGTGTAGCAAATGTTTCAATCTATTATTAGTAAGTGTCTCTGCTTGACACATCATGCTCAGTAGCAGGCAGGATCGCCTTCTCACTCTACTGTCAGCATGACTGTACTCCCAGTTTAGAGTGAGAAATACAGTCAGAGAAGCACGTTATATTTGTGTGTAATATGCATCTGTTTACATTGATATTTACATTGATAATGGCCATTTTTGTTAATTTATGCAGTGGTTTTAGGGGAAGTCTGAGTTACAGTATGAAACACTTATTGGTGTTTATGCATAATCAAGAAGCTAAAATATTTAATAAATGCACAAGTGTCAGAGGATGTGTAAAACTTTGATTGACTTTATTGATCCCACACCGGGGAAATTCACTGCAGCTACAAAACAACAGGTGAGAAAATACACATAGTGAACAAAAATACACAAAAAGTGCTACATGATGTTGTTATTGCAGTTAAAGAGTCTGACTGCTGTTGGAAGGAAGGACCTATTTGAAATGTTTAAAAGTAGCCTAACTTGACAACTGCATTTGTAAGAGTGCATTTTGTTTTCTGTTGATCTCTAGTAACAAGTGAGCATGTGGATAAAGAGAGATTCAGGATAAAGAGAGATTCAGGTTAAACACACACCCATGTTGTGAAACATCGAATCAGGAAGCGTCTTTCGGTCTCACATTTGCATAATTTCAGCATGCCCGCTAAAGTTTTTTTTTCTGATCAAACCTGTTTCTCTTGAAATGGAAATGAATTTTTTAGTATTCTCCCATGTGGCTTTGCAACAGAGCTTTTGCAAATTTAAACAGCGAGGTCACGCAAGGTCTCATAGAGCTCCTCTCTGAGCAGGTTTAGTTTCAGTTAGACGATGACAAGATACTGTGGTGTAACCCTCTCTTTTTTTTACTTGCTGCTTGGCACGTTTTCAAGGGTTTTTTAATGTCTTTACAAATAAGCTAGTTATTTACATTTTCCTAGGACTTTTTTAAGGTTTATATTTCTTTCAGAGCCACTTTGTCTTCTTTTGAGGGCCTATTTCAGTATTTACTCCCTGTGTTCCATGCATGTCCCACATTTATTCACCTGATACCTGCATTTGTTGCTGATATAGGCTGCCTTCCCACACTTGCTGCTCTCTGACAGGCTGGTATGTTGGCCCTCGTGTGATCATTGATTCTGTAACAAGAGCTTTAAAAATAGAAGGCCCTCAGGGCAGCTGTTAGTGCAGCCTCAAGACCAGACATGAAGTTTTGGGGGGCCATTACAATGAGCAGAAGTAGGGAACAGGGGCATCTGATAATGGATGCTATGGAAACACATGCTGATAACATCTGCATTAGTAATCCTTAGTGGCTGTGCTTTTCTGCTGCTCTCTAATGTAGCTAAGCTGGTATGAGTGAGAAATGGCCTCAGTAGAACATGAGTCAGTGAAGGATTTCCTGTAAAACAATTTCAACAATTGCTACTCAACACTTTGATTCAGTATTTTGTTTGTCCTTCTAGTTACACAGATGCAAATTATGGAATCTGATAAGACAAACGCAACCGATAGTTTTCAGCTGTATGTGTTTGGTTCATGACCACATTCCGCAAAGTTTTGGCACATACTGAAAAAAGTTTCTTACAACAACACTCCTCATTTGATTACATGAGGTATTTAAATTTAAATGCAGACCAACTCCAAGAATGCATTGAATTGACCAAAGTGACCGTAAAGACATTTATAATATTATTATAAAATACTTATTTTAAGTAAATGCGTTTATTTTGAACTTTCTATTCATCAAAGAATCCTAGAAAAGGGTATCATGTTTTTTTTTTTTTTTACAAAAGTATTAAGCAGCACAAGTTGCACAACTGTTATCAACATTGATAATAAGAAGAAATGTGACCAGAGCAGCAAATCAGCATATTAGAGTAGAGTGATTTCTGAAGGATTTTGTGACACTGAACTGAAGACTGGAGTAATAGTGCTGAAAATTCAGCTGAAATAATTTTTTTTTTAAACATAGTAAACAGTTATTTCGAATTGTATTAACATTTCACATTTCTACAGTCAGGGGAGCACCCTGTGGTTTTATTAAGCTAATTATTATTTAAGCCAGAAAACTAGCCAATCAGAAATGCTCTCTGCTTGTAAACCATTTTGTGTGCTGACTGATTTATGATGTGATTTATGGAGTAACTGTACCATGTTGGTATGTTTGATTAATCAGATGTGCGCAGGACAATGGTTTGTCAAAAGCTCATTTGTCATTCAAGCAAGATGAAAGTTGATTTCCAGTGTCTTTAGAGCAATTAACTCAATAGGAAGTTGAGTTGCTGACAGGATTGATCCCTACTATGTAAAAGAGGTTTACAGCTGGAAATCAGCTATTGAGACAGACGCAAGTTGGCAAGTCTGTTAAAAATGTGTTCAATAGTTTTGTTAGAGAATGATTGGATTGGTTTAAAACAAAAGAGATCTTAACTAATTGTGTGAGAATAGTTTTAGTGAGAATAGCTGGGTTTCAGTCACGTGATTATGATGACGCGCGAAATTCAGATGGAGGGCAGGGGAGTGAAGAGCGCAATGGACGAGATGGAGGAAAGTCCGTACTGTACCTCTTTACAGCTATTACAAGAGAAAGATATAAACAAAAAATTAAACATATGTTGGACGTGATCCTTACGTTATGAAGAGGAGCGATTTTCAACTGAATTGAAAGATTTTCCTGCCATCGAGGTGGTAGATATCAGCAACTACCTCGTCTTACAGACATACTTTGACTTTACAAAGTTCGTAAATGTTACACGTTACACAAACATAGCCACTTAAGTTGTATTAACTCACCATTGACGAAGTGATCACTGCACAAACGGGCATTTTTCCCATTCGGCTCCTCCCGACCGCAGACGTAGGTTTTTCCGGAGTTTTTCGGTCAATTTCTTGCATTTTCCCCCTTTATGAACAACAACTTTTGGTACACGATAAAAACTCCTCGTGGTTTGATCGATTTAAGTAACCATAAACGACGCAAAACATATGCATTTTGAGTTTGTTATAGTGCTTTCTAAATACAGCAAATCACTTCCTGCCCTCCATTTGCATTTCGCGCCATGGCAACGCAGTGGCGTGACGTCATATGAAAACAAGCTATAGCACATGGATAGTTCAAAGTTGGCCAGACTGAGCCAATGTTCTCCATCTTATTGTTTAAAAAACATACACACACAACCGTTCAAAAGGAAAAGAAAAAAAATAAATATATATATATATATATATATATTAATAATATTATTCAGCAAGGATTCATTAAATTGATCAAATGGGCAATAAAACATAATGTTATAGATTTCTGTCAAATAAGTGCTGGTATTTTGTACTTCCTGTTTATCAATGAATCCTGAAAAAATATCATGGTTTCTAGTGGTGCAACGGATCATCATTGATCCGTGATCCGTTCGGATCAATATCTTCGCTTTGGCACACACGTGACACACACAATAACTGTTTTTACTGTATTTCTGATCACATAAATGCAGCCTTGGTGAGCAATGAGCATAGATGACTTTTTTCAAAAACATTTAAAAATCTTACCGACCCCAAATAGTGTAAACTAGTTTGTACTTAACATTTCTCATTCCTAACAGTCTAAACATTTCAAAAATGATTGTGTTAAACTTCTCCACTGGAAGCTACTAGCAAGCTCAGTCATTGGATGACACTGTAAAAGTGCCAGAATGCAGCTGAGATGGTTACAAGCAGATTAGGATGCCAGGCTTTGTGCTCTGGAGGGTGTTTAGATCATTAATCTGGGCTCAGACTTTGGATTGTGGGATGAGAGCTGTTTGTTAATCTAAACTCATTGTCAGGAGCGGTTTTGTATTTCTGCATTCAGAAGAAGAGTCCTGACATCATAATGCATAATTTGTGTGCCCACACACAAATATGAGTTTATGAATAATACCAAGCACAGTAGCGCATTGACGCATTATCACCTGCTTATCACTGGTCCATGACAATCATAAAAACAAATTCTGCCTCCCTCAGGATAAGCTCTGAGTGCCCCCAAGGTTAAACTTGCACTGGATTGTTTTCAACAACGCATTACTCCTTTCAATTTTCTTCAAGAGCCTTGTTGCAGAACTGTTGATACAGGTTGAAGCTAGACACTGTGTAGAAAACTCTCAAATAATGTCAGCACACTTAAGTCAGAAACCTTTTTCGCATGCTGACATCTTTCACCAAGAATGGAACCTCTCCATATAAGGACATGGATTCAGAAAGGGTTTTCTTCCTTTTTCTGACGTCACCGATGGGCCCCTGAAGATTGTTATCACAATTGCTTTCCTGTTTATTCTCTGCTGTTGGGATGCATCCCATTTAAAGGAGTAATGCGGAGTCCATATTTCTAGTGCTCTTGATGCTGATTGGCTAGGATGTTTGTGTATAAGCATGGTTGCCGCGAT